CCCTTATTCCCCAAGGGCTGGGTCTGGTGGCTTGTCTTTCCAATGACCCGAAGTGCTGGGAGGAAGCAGCTCTAGACACCTTCAGCTCACATGATCTGATTGTGGTTATTATAATGCTCATGGGTCTGGGTGGCTGGTCCCCAAGGAGCTCAGGTTGCTGGCTTTGAGAGGGGCAGCCCTTGCTTCTTCCCTGGAGTCTTTGTACAAGATACTTGATGGGGAAGAAAGGCAGTTGTATGTGGGTGGTGTGGAGTATGGAAGGGTCTCTGAGGCACTTGAGAGCCAAGGCGGAAGGTAAGTTATGCAGATGGCTGGTGCAGCATCGCTGGACGGGTGTGTTCTTACTGGTCTCCTGGAGAGGCTTTCCTGTTGGCTGTGTAGTTAGATGTGAGCTACCCTGGATCAATAGAAGGCCTCTGGCTTGAAAGGGCAAATCTTGCCATCAAAAGTAGAGCTGAGTGTCTGGTATAGAGGTTTGTGTAGTTTCAAAAACATCCCTTGGGGGTGGGGTGGGGGGGAGGGTATAGATCAGTGGTAGACTATTTGTCCTAGTGTGTATGAGGCCCTAGGTTCTATCCCCAGAAAAATAACCCAAACCCAAATGCGCAACACATCCATCATTCTTCCTGGTGCCTCTAAGAGGGGTCTCATCTATGGAGCAGCGTTGGGCTGCTCAAGGGTAGGAAGAGGGTTCTGCCTACACTTAGCCATCTCTTGGGTCTTCACCCTTTCACCTCCCACTCCGGGACCAGGGCTACCTTTCAAAGCCGACTGAATGCAAACAGGACCCCCGGCCTGTGCGGGTACACAGCTCTGGGGAACTTCCAACTCCAGCTCCCAGGTAGTCTGGTGCCCAGCAGCGCCAGGTGCCAGACTCTAGACTGCTCTTTCCCAGCCTGAGTTTCCTCCTCTGCGCGCCAGGAAACGCTAGCCCAGGTGTGTTGTCCCCCATGGCTAGCAAACGCTTTAGGGACGACCGGAGGCTCTGGGCCACCGACAGTTGTTAGGCCGGGGAATAGCAAGACCACCGAGACACCTGGACCTCCGCGAGGCCTAGAGCGGTTCTGGAAGCCCGCGGGTTGGGGGCGGGGCTCCAAGGGCTTGGGCCGCAGGGGGTTCCGCGCCAGCCTCTGCCAGGCGGGGCCGCTTCGGCCGCGGGGTGCGGTTACGCAGGTGAGGCCCCGCTCCGCCTGCCTGCGGCCCGCCCCAGGTGAGTGACCCCCGTGTCCACCGGGAAGACCCGAATCCTGCCTGATCACTTCCTTCGATTGGCTCTGGGCGCCAATGTGCCCAATCCGTGCGAAGCCGGTCCCGGGAACCGCGTCGTCTCACCCGCAGCGTGTGCGGGTTGGACACCCGCCGGCCCCTGGCTGGGAAATCCTGACTGCACTGAGTATTTTTCCGGGGTCCCAGGCACTGGGGACCACCTGAAGGATGGGGCGAACGATGCAGGAGGTGTTGGGGGAAGGCACAGAGTGGTGGGAAGCAAAGGGTCCCAGACCTTTGAATGTATATAGTCAGGAGACATTTAACACATTGTTGGGGACAGATAAAGTAGTGGCAACTTTTTATCTAGAGCAGCGAGTTCTGGGTGTAGAGGCTACATAGTGGGAATAGGAAAATTACCAAAAAGGGAACCTTGGAAAACAGAATTTAACAGGTTAAATGGAGAAAGAATTGCAACCCATCAAGAAGGAGGAATCAGAGGGTTGGAAAATTTGGGGGGGGGGGGGGAAACCTTTCAGAAACCCAGGAAATTGCTACTGCCTGTAATCCTAGCCATTCAGGAGGCTGAGATATGAGGATCTCTGTTCCAAGCTAGACCTGGCAGGAAAGTCTCTGAGACTCATCTCCACTAAATTGCCAAAAGCTGAAAATAAGAGTTGTAGCTCAAGTGGTAGAGTGCTAGTATTGAGCAAAAGAAGCTCAAGGATAGCTCCCAGTTCAAGCCCTGGTACACACATGTACACACACACACACATACACATCCAAGGGAATAAAAGAAAGTGGGGATGGAGGATTGAGGCCAACTCAAAGCTTTCAGAGTTAGTGAAAGAGTGGATTCACTTTGCTAAATCTTTTAATTTTCAAAAGGAAACAAGAAAGCCAGGCGCTACTGGTTCTGGTAATACTCAGGAGGCTGAAATCTGAGGATGGACTTTTGAATCCAGCCTAGGCAGGAAAGTGTGAAACATCTCCAAAAAGTCAGAAGTGGGATTGTGGTTCAAGTGGTAGAGCAAAAAGCTAAAGACAACACCTGGCACCTGAGATTAAGCCCCAGTTAAATCCAGAAAGACAGAGAGACTGAGGAAAAGACAGAGGGAGGAAGGAAGGGAGGGAGGAAGGGAAAGAGGGGGGGGGTGAGGGGAAATCTACTTGATTTTAAGGAAACTGGGGAAGCTTAACTCTTGAAGAGCCAAGCAAAATGTGTCTGTGTGGCAGGATTCCTAAGCTGCCAATTTGCAACTTTTGACAAGTTGGATTTGAGAAGGTAGCCTTGGTGAACAATGCCAGATAGGGTGGGAAAGTGAGCCTTGGAAGAGAGAGATTTGGAAATAAGGCCATTGGATGCTGATGCTGAGTTCTGAAGTCCCAGTTGATGGAACCCAAAATCTGTCCTGGTGCCATGCATAGTTGGCAGCATTTGCCACCTTAGGAGGAACTGGCAGGAAAGGTTGGGAGCTAGAAACCCAGGGCAAGTAGGTGAAGAATGTAATGCTAGCCAGACAGTTAAAGGGGTGCCCATAGTTACACTCACTATGGAAAGTAAAGTTCTATGTCAGATAGAGAAAGAATGGAACTTGAAGAAGAAAACCTGGGTGAAATGGGACATGGGGGATATAGGGGGAGGCTACTGGGTTTGATGACCTCAGAGACTGTGCTGCTGAAGGAGGGGGTGGGGTAACAGGAGTGGAAAAGATTTTTTTTTCTCCCATTGCTGGGGATTGACTTGACCCCAGGGCCTTCTGCATGCTAGACAAACACTACCCTTGAGCTGGCCTCAGCCTAATCAAAGAGGGTATTTGACTTGTGTGCTTTTCCATCCATGGCTTTTCTACTGGCTGAAACATTAAAAAGGTCACTTCCAAATTGCAGCAAGTTCCATTATGTCTATTCTGAGTCATTTAGTATGATGTTTTTTAGTTTGTTTATGAGCCTTTTTCTCTAAGCCTAAGTAATTGATAGCATAATACCTTCATGTAAAACTGTGAGAATTAAATGAGGTATGTTTATGGAATTTCTAGTACTCCCTAGCATATAGTAGGTGCTCAGTAGTAAGTGCTATTATCACATCCTTTAACAAAAATTTTTTTTTCCCTTGTGTCTGTTCTGGGTTGGAACTCAGAGCCTGAGTACAGCTCCTGAGCTTTTTTTTTTTTTTTCCCAAAACTTAAAGATAGTGCTGTACCACTTGAGCCACAGCTCTACCTCCAGCTTTTTAATGGTTAATTGGAGATAAGTCTGATGGATTTTCCTGCCTGAGCTGGCTTTGAACTTGATCCTCAGATCTCAGTCTCCTGAGTAGCTAACAACTTCTTGTTTATTCAGCTCCATTTCTCAGTGAGACTCTGAGAGGCTCTCTGAAGTAGAGTGGAGGGCAGAATGAAGTGTTCCAACCTCCTTCCTTTATTCCCTCTAAAATGCCCTGTCCATTGGACCAGATCTGCTTTCTGTCTGTTTTACTTATTTACATTTTCTAGACAGTTATTTTAATAATAATAATAATAACAATAATAATAATAAAAAAGATGTGTTGGGTGCTGGTGGCTCTCATCTGTAATCCTAGCTAACTGGGAGACGGATATCTGAGGATCATGGTTCAAAACCAGCCCAGGAAGAAGAGTCCCTGTGAGTCTTTTATCTCTTATTAACTACTCGAAAACTAGAAATGGAGCTGTGTATCAAAGTAGTAAGCACTAGCCTTGAGTGATAGAGCTCAGGGACAGTGCTCAGGCCCTGAGTTAGGCCCCATGACCAAAAAAAAAAAAAAAAGACGTATGACAGTCAGTTGTAGCACAAAAATAAATGGCTTTTCTTCTCTTGGGTCATTTATTCTCCAGTGTAGTGTGCTGGGATTGTGTTGTGTTGGATCCTGGGAATTCCTATTAGTACCTAATGCTTGTCCTTAGGGAGATGTCCCTAAGCAAAGAGTCTTGTAAATGTGTGACAGACTGTATCCAGCCTCTCAGCTCTCAGGGAAAAAGGGGTGGGTGGGGGAATATATCTGAGATAGTCCAGAGTCTTAGGGTTCAGAGAAAGGGAAAGATTTGGATTGAATGTGGAAGGACCACCTAGTGGCAATCTGAGAACAGGACAAGGACTTTTTAGGAGAAGGTAAAAGCAGTGCAAATGAATTGGTGAGTAGGTTGGAAAAGTGAGAGCTAGAGACAGGGCTGAAAGTGCCAGAAAGGAAGGACCTTGTGAAGTAGTGTGATTACCAAGAGATCCTGAGAAGAAACGTGATGCAGATCAGGCTTATGTTTTGGATACTTGCTTCTAGTGTCCATATAGAGTGAGGACCAGAGAAGCAGTTGGTTAGGAAGCAAGTATTGAACACGTTCTGGGGTGTCACTCTGAGACCTGAGCTGCTTGCTTCGTGACAGTGAGGACAGAGGGCAGAGATCCCTTCCTGGCATGAGGCCTCAGGAACTGGTGAGGCCAGGCTGGTAGGATAAAAACTAGAGAGGGTGTAGGATTTTGTCTGGCAGTGGTGCTGTTAACCTAAGGTAGGAGGAATATGTCCTCTATCTTTCCTAACAAAAGCCACCCACAGCATCATTGTCATCTAATGGCAGAAGCCTTTTCCCCCTATTCCGCAATGGCTTTACTTCTTGTTTTTACTCCTCCTTGTAAACCAGTCTAGACACCATGATGTGACCCTTGGTTGTGCCTTTCTTCCTTGTAGTTGCTTTAGGTAAGTGAAACTTGCCTCTAATTCATCCTCTCAGGGAAAGGTTGTGTCTTACCATCATTTGGTCTTTTCTACTATAGACTTATCATGGAAAAGTATGGCCCAAAGAAGAGTGTTTTACAGATATCTGATTATTGACAGCGATACCAGATTCACAACGGAGGTTCCCCCAGCAAGCAAATTTGATAACACCTTTATATTTGAGAACAAGTTAGAGATTCATCAAGAACTTTTCCCAGGTGAGGATCTAGGGAATTCTTTTCTTCATGAAGGAGGCTTGGAGCAAATGGCTGTCATCTACAAGGAGATTCCTCTTGGAGAGCAAGATGTGGAATGGGAGGATTTTGGGGGGAATTTCCACCTGTGCTTAAGCCCCATTTCATCAGAGGATTACCCTTGGAGGCAGATCTCAAGGTGAGGATCCACTTGTCCAAACTTTACTTCAGAAATCCAACTCCAGTGTCTCTCGGATAATCCACAGTGGAGAAGAGGAAGCAGGCAGGGTAAGTCACGACTCAATGCACCTCACAGAAGCCTGCATCCCACTAAGCCCTATGCTAGTAATGAGTGCGGAAAGGCCTTCAGCCAGAGCTCCCACCTTCTCTGACACTTGGTCATCCACACTGGGGAGAAGCCCTACCAATGCCAAGAGTGTGGGAAAGCCTTTTGCCAGATCTCAGCCCTCACCCAACACCAGAAAATCCACACAGGGAAGAGGCCCTATGAGTGTAGGGAATGTGGGAAGGATTTCAGCTGGAGCTCTAGTCTCCGAAAACATGAGAGAATTCATACCGGAGAGAGATCTTCTCAGTGTAAGGAATGTGGGAAAGCTTTCATCCAGAGTTCAGGCCTTAGCCAGCATCGGAAAATCCACATCCTTAAGAAACCTCATGAATGCGACCTCTGTGAGAAAGCCTTCTGTCACAGATCCTACCTCATCCGGCACCAGTGGATTCACACAGGGAAGAAACCTTACAAGTGTGAAGAACATGGGAAGGCATTCAGCCAGAGCTCCAACCTCATCGAATATTGGAAGACCCACACTGGTGAGAAACCCTACAAATGTCATAAGTGTGAGAAGGCCTTTAGCCAGAGTTCCTCACTCATCGAGCACCAGTGGATCCACACTGGGGAAAAGCCCTATGAGTGTTGTCACTGTGGCAAGACCTTTTGCCACAGCTCTGCACGGATTCAGCACCAGAGGATCCATCCTGGCAAGAAGCCGTACACCTGTGAGTGTGGCAAAGCCTTCAGACACAGGTTGGCTCTCATTGAGCATTATAAAACCTATTCCAGAGAGAAGCCCTATGGATGTAATCTGTGTGGCAAGTCTTTCCAAGGAAGCTTACACCTTAGCCGCCATCAGAAAATCCATGCTAGTGGAAATCTGGAGAAGGGGAATATCCATCATCACTTGGAAGCCTTTACATAGCTTTGCCTCTCTGACCCTACCTGTCTCCCTGAGAACAAAGGCCCATGAGGCCCTTCTGGACGTCCCCACTGGCAGGAAGGCATCTTGTTAAGCTTGCCACACTCAGCAAGTTTCTCACACGAAAGGAATGGTGGGACTACTGGGAGGCAAGCCACGCACACAGAGCTGGCTTCAGTCCTCTCATTCTCATATTTGACTCCCAAGCCTATGAGATTTCATTTTACCCTCTCTTCCACTCTTCTCAGAGTCCAAAGGAAGTATAAACATTGAGGAAAAGAGTTGAGTTAGTCTCAAGAAAATGCCAGATGAGGGGCTGGGAAGGTGGCTTGCCTTGCATGCCTGAGGCCCTGGGTTCGATTCCTCAGCACCACATAAGCAAAAAGAAAAAAGCCGCAAGTGGCGCTGTGGCTCAAGTGGTAGAGCGCTAGCCTTGAGCTGAAGAACTGAGGGACAGCGCCTAGGCCCAGAGTTCAGGCCCCATGACTGGACCCAAAAAAAAAAAAAAATACCAGATGAAATCAGGCCTAAGCCTGGAACTTTCCAACAAGGCAAAATCAGTGCAGCTGGAGCTGGTTGCAGAAAATGGATTCAAAAGTAGATGTGGGGGCTGGGAAAGTGGCTCTGTGGTAGAGTGCTTGCCTTACATGCATGAGGCCCTGGATTCGATTCCTTAGCATCACATACACACAAAAAGCCGGAAGTGGGCGCTGTGCCTTAAGTGGAAGAGCACTAGCCTTGAGCTGAATAGCTGAGGAACAGCGCCCAGGCCCAGAGTTCAGGCCCCATGACTGACAAAAAAAAAAAGTAGATGTGGTAGAGGGGGAAAAAGAGAATCTCTGCATGGTCAGGGACCAAGGACAAGCAGAACAATTTAACAGAGCAGAGAAAGTCTGGAGGATTGCTTTGAAGATGAAGGGTGAGGGTAGGGGATCCCAGAGCAGGGTGAGACCCAGAGCGGGTCTTACCCTCTCCTTGGAAGGGGGGTGGATTCTAGCAAATGCTATGTCACAAGAGAACAGATAATTTTGGTACTTATGGTGGCCACAAGATGTTTGACACCTGGCTGTGACTCAGCAAGGGCACTGGTGTAGCTAACATCAATTCCTCCCTGAAACCCAGTGCTCCCAAGATTACGATGTGCCTTGGATGCTAGCAGAGCACTTTCCAGTCTGATGATTCTACAGGCTCCCCCAACCCCAGCTCAACAATGCAGGGGTGTGGGCAGCTGATGATTTGGAAGGGCTGTGATTCAATCTGAAGGTCTGGGGTTAAATCCTGATGCTGCTTCCTCCTATTATATGACCTTGAACAAGTCCTGTAACTTCCCAAGGCTCGGTTTCCTTGTTGAGGATGGCACCTGACCTTAAAGGATTGGTGGCTCCCATTCAGAATATATCCATTCTCAAAAGTGCTTTGGCAACAGCAATCATGAGTGATGGCTGAGAATGGAGACCCTGAATGAGCCCCATCCCATATTCCCTTGCAGATAAAAAAAAAAAAAAGGACTATATATGCTTCCTTCTGGACCTCATCCTGAGACTGCTGCCAGGATGTTTTGTCCAGGCTCTTGTATTCTTTCTGTTTTCTGGCCAATGAGTTTACCTGAAGATTTAAAAAATACTATTACCTGTGTTTCAACTGGACCAATTGTCTGGCATCCCTTGGGGTAGGTGGGCCCCAATAGCGGTATGTTTGCAAAGGTTTCTGAGTGATTATAAGGTACATGGTGGCTAGGCCTGTTTTGGGCTTTCAGGCAGCATCAGCAGCCTGATCACTCTTATCAGATCACTCTTACCAGAGCAGAGCTTGAAGCTGTTCTCAGTCTTCAGTTCCCAGGGTCTCAGGTATGGGCTTAGGTAATAAGTTGAGTCAAATAATTTCTCTTCTCTGTTCTAGGAATTAAACCCAAGGCTTTATGTATAGACAAGTGTTCTACTGTGGAGCTGCTTTAATGTAGCTCCATCCCTCTCCCCCAATTCACAAAGTGAATGGATGGAATGACATGAATTCATCATGATGTTGGTTATTTAGCTGTTCAGAAGCTCAGTGCAGCAGTTATGGTAGTTATACATAGTTTTGATGAATAAACATGGGAGAGCTATTTTTGTTCCTTAGTAATTGGGGCTTGGTAGGCCAGAGAGTTTGAACATTGAATGATGTGGATGCTAAGTTGGAAAGATCACATTGGGAGTCCTGATCATTTCCAGCAACCTCATGTCACCTAGAAACAGTTGCATTGTGAAGGTCCAGAGCCTCGTAGGTAGTACTGGACACTGTCTGCATTTAGCCAAAGTCTTTGGCTAAAGACTTTGTGAGGAGTAAAGAAAGAAGGAAAGGATGCTGGGATAGAGTTAGAACAGCAAGTGGCATCAGGCAGGGGCCTCCTCAAAGTCCCATTCTACCTTAGCCTTGGCCTGTCCTTATCCAGTGAGCGTTTGTTACCTACCTACGGTCTATCTGTGGCTGCCTTTCCTACGTACTCCAGCCAAACTGTTTTTGGTGCCAGTCTGTGGAATTTAACTCAGGGCCCAGGTACTGTCCCTTAGCTTCTTCACTCAAGGCTATTTGAGCCCCACACCTCCACTTCTGGCTTTTTGCTGGTTAATTGGAGATAAGAGGGTCTCTTGGATTTGTTTGCCCAGCTTAGTTTTGAATCTCAGATTCTCATATTTCAGCCTGAGTAGCTAGGATTATAGGCTTGAACCACCAGTAGCTGGGATTGCATACATATATCACCAAGCCTATCAAAAAAATTTATATGGTGGTCTTGGGGTTTGTACTCAGGGCCTGTATTGCTAGGCAGGCACTCTATCACTTGAGCCATGCCCTCAGCCTTCTTTTGCTTTTGTTCATTTTTGAATAGGGCCTTCTTTTTTTTCCAGGGCTATTGTAGACCTTAGTCCATCTCATTATGCTTTTCACAGAGCTGGGAGGACAGTTGTATACCACCACACCTATCTTTCTAATTGGTTGAGATTTTATGAACTTTTTGCCAGACCTGGCTGTGAACTGTGTGACTTTCTACATGTAAGCCTCCTGAGTAGCTTAGTGTTAGCAGGCATGAGCCATTGTGTCCAGTTCCAAATTGATTTTTTTTTTTGTGCCAGTTCTAGGGCTTGAACTCAGGGCCTGGGCATTACCTCTGACCTTTTGTGCTCAAGGCTAGTGCTCTATCATTTGAGCCACAGTACTACTTCCAGCTTTTTGGTGTTTAATTGGAGATAAAGAGTTTCATTGACTTTCCTTCCCAGGCTGGCTTTGAACCATCATAGTCAGACCTCAGCCTCCTGAGTAGTTAGTGCTGTTTTCCAAATAGATTCTTTTTTTTTTTTTTTTAGAATTTTTTTTTTTTTTTTATTGTAAAGCTACTATACAGAGGGTTACAGTTACATGAGTGAGGTTATGAGTACACTTCCTCTTGAACATTGTTACCCCCTCCATTGTTTTCCCCCTACCATCCCCTCCCTCCCTCCCTTCCCCGAGGTTCTTTTTTTTTTTTTTTTTTTGATTGTGATTAAATGATTACATAATTTCAAAGTCACAAGTTCATTCTAACTTCCCTGGAGCAAATTGTCTACCACAGTCTGTAATATATAACAGTGTTCACATGTTATATACCATATTTGTGATCAGCAGCATGAGGATATTTAGTAGTGGTTCAACCAGATGAGCGGGAGTTCTTTGTTTCTTAAGTCCTGTTAGTTTTGTCGTATCACCTAACCTTTTGGATTTAGCATCCACTTATGAGGGAGACCATGTACCATTTGTCTCTTCGTTCTTGGCTAACCTCGCTCAACATGATTCCTTCTAGCTCCATCCATTTCCCTGCAAATGCCATTATTTTGTCATTTCTAATGGCTGCATAATATTCCATTGTGTATAGATACCACAATTTTTGGATCCATTCATCTGTGGTGGGGCACCTAGGTTGTTTCCATATCCTAGCTATTGCGAACAGTGCTGCAATAAACATGGAGGTGCACGTGTCCTTGTATATTGGTTCCTGTTGTTCAGGGTAGATGCCTAGAAGTGGTATGACTGGGTCGTAAGGGAGGTCAATCTTTAGCTTTCTAAGGACCCTCCAGACTGCTTTCCAAAGTGGTTGTATAAGTGTACATTCCCACCAGCAGTGTAATAGGGTTCCTCTTTCTCCACATCCCCTCCAGCATTTGTCGTTGGCTGATTTGTGGATGTGGGACATTCTGACTGGGGTAAGGTGGTATCTCAGGGTTGTCTTTATTTGCATTTCCTTCACCACCAGGGATGATGAACATTTCCTCATGTGTTTCTTTGCCATTTTTATTTCTTCATTTGAGAAGTCCCTCTTTAGTTCCCTTGCCCATTTAGTAATTGGTTTGTTAGGTTTGGGAGGGATTAGTTTCTTGAGTTCCCTGTATATACAGGATGTTAACCCCTTGTCTGATATATTGCTGGTAAATATTTTTTCCCAATTAGTTGGTTGTCTTTCTAGCTTAGTTGCGATAGATTTAGCTGTGCAGAAGCTTTTTATTTTAAGGTAGTCCCATTTGTCGAGTCTCTCTCCAACTTGTTGTGACCCTGGGACTCTGTTCAGGAAGTTCCTTCCTGTGCCTATTAGTTCAAGTGTCTCTCCTACTCTGTCCTGCAGTAGTTTCAGAGATTCAGGTTTAATGTTAAGGTCTTTAATCCATTTTGAGTTGATGTTGGTGCATGGTGATAGGCTGGGGTCCACTTTTAGTTTTCTGCATGTGGCTGCCCAGTTTTCCCAGCACCAGCGGTTGAAGAGGCTGTGTTTCTTCCATTGTATGTCTTTGGCTCCTTTGTCGAATATCAGCTGGCTGTAGGCCTGTGGATTTATATCTGGATCTTCTATTCTGTTCCATTGGTCTTCGGGTCTGTTTTTGTGCCAGTACCATGCTGTCTTTGTGATTATAGCTCTGTAGTAGAGTTTGAAGTTCGGCATGGATAGCCCTCCCATATTGTCTTTATCCCCTAGAATTGTTTTGGCTATTCTAGGTCTTTTGTTGTTCCATATAAATTTTTGGACTGTTTTCTGTATTTCAGTGATGTACGTCATTGGGATTTTAATAGGAATTGCATTGAATTTGTATATTAGTTTTGGAAGTATCACCATCTTTACTATATTAAGTCGGCCTATCCAGGAGCATGGGAGGTCTTTCCATTTCCTAGTGTCTTCTGCAATTTCTTTCTTTAACTTTTTATAGTTCTCATTAAATAGTTCTTTTACATCTTTGGTTAGGTTAATTCCTAAATATTTTATTTTTTGGGAGGTTATTGTGAATGGGGTTGCTCC